TTTGCGACATCCTGACACCGATATGCTGTGTATTTTTTCACTTTTACAGAACAGGGATCCGTGAGATTCCGGTGGTTTCTCTTATTTATATATAATACATGTAATGTGATGCCAGAGTCCAATGGGAAACGGCTTCACAGATTTACTGTATCAGTTTGTTCAGTGTTGAGACAATAACAGAAAGTCAGCACAAAAACTGGGAACATCAAATCCTGAGCTCATTGTTTATACATCTTTATACACAAAAAATAAGTTGGTTTTGAACGGGGAGGGAGACATCTGAGATATTGTTTGAGAGATTGGTTTAAAAGCAAAGTCTAATGCTGTATAAAAAAACTGTTTTTTCACAAGAAATACTGTCAAAAACATGACATTTGTTGGCTTTTTTAACCACCACAGATCAGAGTCAAGGTTTTATTCTGGTCACATTCACCACGTCTGCGCATCAGTGTGAATTGTGTCTTTAAATCCTGCACGTCTTCCTCTCTGCTCCTCATTTACTTTGTCCTTCTTTTTTTTCCGCCTCTTTAACATTCATCGACTTCTTCCTCACACCGATCTGTCTCTCGTTCCCCCTCCTCCTCCCCCCCCGTTCCTTAAGCCAAAGTCCTTTAGGTCTGGAAAAAGGAAGACATTTAATTTTCTCTGCTTATCCTCCTGAAATATGCATCATCAGTGGTGAAGGTGTGTGAACAGATGACGCCATCACTCACTGCTTTATCACATAATTACAGCCACGTCTGTCTGATTTATCACTTCCTCAGAGCGCTTTCCTCAAAACCAAAAAACGTACAGGTTTTAAAATCTGTTTGTACAAAAACAAATGACAGACTGGAGGAGTCGGTTCTTAACAACACAACAGGGTGTTCCCAATATTTACACACTGCACCTTTAATGTTGACAGGTTTATATCTGTTGAGTTCCTTTTATTGTTCTTGACTCCTTTTTGTTATTCTTCATACTGTGGAGTTTTTAGTACTCACTGTAGTAACTGAAAATTCATGAATTTATTTCACACGCCTGTAAATAATAATTTTTAGTTAAAACATCAAATTTTTTATTTTATACATACCTTTTTACTCCTTAACAAAATAAACAAGACATAACTTACAAAATTTAGGAATTACAGTGCAGTGGTTCTTAAAATAAGGCTCAGCCGAGACATCAGACATTTCTTTTAGGCTTCTTGTTTGCATATCATCCGGTTTTTGAGTATTTGGGTTTGTTTGTGTTTTTGTTTTTTTGTTTTGTTTTTTTCTCGTGTACTTTGTGTGAGTACTTGTACTTAATACTACCCTCTCTCTCCCCTCTACAGTGCGGAGTGAGGGGAAAGTGTACCACTTCAGGATTCAACGCTCCACCATCGGCGCGTACTTCGTCTCAGATAAAATCTCCTTCGCCACACTGGGAGAGCTCATCGCCTACTACCAGAAAAACCCCCGCAGCCTGGGAGTCCTGCTGGAGGAGCCATGTGCCCAGCAGGTAGGACACACACACACACACACACACTCTCCTGAAAACACACGTCTTTACTGTTCGTCTCTCCTGCTGCATTCTGAGATGATCTGGTCTGACAGTGGAACAAGACAACGGCTATATACATATGTGTATATATATACATATATATATACACACACAAATATATATATATATATATATATATATATATATATATAAAATTATATATATGTGAGAAACTATTGTATTTATGTTAGTGTTATGATGGTGAGCTACCCGGTGCTGACTCAGCCTTAGATCCTGTGTTATACAATGAAGCCATGAATGGAATCTGTGTCACTGAGCAACATTCACTGAAAACACAGGACTTTTTTTTTCTTTTTCTCTTTTTTCTAGTCAAAGGTCAAAGATCCATAAAATAGATTTAAGTCACTGAAGTGGGACACTGGTTGACAGTTTAAAGGTCAACCTTTGAGGCATAGAGGTCAAAGTATTGGGGCTTGTAATTGGAAGGTTGCCGGTTCAAAAGCCTGCAGTGTGTTGGGGTGTATTTAAAAGTGTGGGGCGTGGCCCTTTGTGTACATGGTGTGTTCACAGATTATAAAAAATACAGAAAGTGAATTTCTTTAGGTGATTGAAACAGAACTAAAAGATCTCTACACTGGACCTCAGCAGCATTTATAGTTCTTATAGTAACGCTTCACATTTCTACCAGTTCATGTCAAGTGATGCTGTGATGTATAAATACTAAATATGACACAGATGAGTGTGTGAGAGGTGAGAACCTTTTTTTATTTTATTTATAAAGTTCTTCATGACCAGAGGCAGTGATTGGTCCTTTTTCTCTCTTTCCTTTCTGCAGAGGCGTTGAGTCTGTGGCCACGGACACACTGACACAGAAACACAAACTAACACTTAGTCGACACGAGCACCGAACTAAGACGTTTAGCACAATCATAGCAGCACAAACAGGTTCAGACTCAGGACTGTCGACACTGTTCTAAAACATTCTTGTTTTTTAGTTTGTTCATCATACAGATGTTGACCACAAAAAATATAAAATAAAAAATAATCATTTCACCAACACAGTGATGTAAACTGCATGTGTATATGTGTGTATATACACTGTATACTTATGTCTGTATGTATTTATACATCTACATATATTATATATATATATATACCTACATATATACATATATATATATATAGTGACATTCATTTCAAGCACGAGTCTCATTTAAAAATGACTCAGCTCTGTATATCAGTAATTCAAATGAAAGTTTCTATTTTTTAAGACTATAAAACGCGTTCTTCAAATACAGTTGAACAGCAGCTCGGAACAAAAGGTACATTCACATGAAAGTATTAAATCAGGTCCTAATTTTCCTCTGGTATTTTTAGAGCTACAGCAGACACTTCACAGGCTTTAAAAATAACCATCGCTGGAAACACCAGAGGGCAGCATAAAAGAACTGCTAATATTAGACACTGATGTTGATGCCAGCTACTATTTATTGACCTGCGATTTCAGAAAGTGCTCCGTTACTTTTCAAACACTGAGACATGAAGAATGTTAAAGACTGCAGTATAGTTCACTTCACATTTCTCAGCCAAGCCTCAGCCATCAATGTATAAACAGTTCCAGACAATGGTTCTGTTGTTCCTTTTCTTTGTTCAAAATGTACCTAAATGCATCTTTGGCTATTTTGTATTGTATTATACGGTTCATATTTTTCATTCATAAATCTGTTGCCGCTTCACCAGTCCGCAAACACCAACATAAATCAGATTTTTTTTTTAAAGAACAATTGCAGGCATTAAGTCGTCTTAAAACGTGGCACCAGTTAAATGTGGTGCCGTTAAAGAAGAAGTCACTGACTGTACTTTCAATCACTTTAACGACTCGGTACAAGGACTCCTTCCTGGCAATTACACAGAAACGCTCGATAAAAGTTGACAAAAGCGTGGTTTGGGGCCTGATGTGTGACTCATTCATTAGCTGGGAGTTTCTAAAAGCAGATTTATCCTGTGTTTTACTGCCGACTGTTCACTCTGCTGTCGTCTTACAGTAAATCTCTTCTGGCTAATTCTGTGTGTCCCCTGTGATTCAAATGGATCCAGACCAGAATACAGACAGTATTAACATCAGGTTCCATTTATTAGCCTGATGTAGCAAAACAAATCATCTTCAGCTACCGATCAGTTTTAATTCTTCAACCATTTTTTCATTCATTGTTTTGTTCTATTTGTTAGAGACTGAATCTAAATGTTAATTAATGTTTTCCTTTAGTGAATCATGTGGCATTTAATTGACATTTTTCATACAAAGTTTTTTTTTTTTTTTACCTATTATTTCCAGAGGTTTTTTGCATCGAAATTGCATTGTTTAACTATTTGATTTCTAAATACAGCAGTGATTGTGTGAGTGTGTAATTAATGATCACCTAATCACATTATGACAATTTATTTAAACATAAATCAAGTTGATAAACAGTAATTAATTCTTGTTTTTTTATTTTTTATTTAATTTGATTTATTTGATATCATTTTATCGGTCTGTTCATTTCATGTTCATCAAGGCACTTAATCATTAGAACAATGTGTTTTGTAGCATTTAATTTTTAATTTTTTTAATTAGAAGAATAAAGATATATATATATACTAAATCTAAATGACTGTGTCGTTCATTGTTTTCTCACTCATCTTATCTTATTTGATAATGCTGATTATTTTGCTTTAGTCACCTTGACAATTAATACATAATATTGGGGGGAAAGTTTTATTAACATTTAAATTTGACAAGAATTATAAAGTATTTATAAACTGATTTTGTTTGCAGATACATAAAATTTAAAAAATGTAGATAAATATAATTTTTAAAAAACTTGCCACTCAGAAGATTAAGAGCATTTAAGGACATCATATTTGATTTGATATTTATATAATGTAGAAATTAAGCTTTTTTATAGTTGTATAGTACAATATACACATTATCAGCTTTGTTTATACAGCAACACATGTTTGATTTGCCGAAGGAAGTTAAGATTTTACAGCTTGACAATCTTTCAGTGATTGATAATCTTTCAGCTCCCCACAACCAACTTTGACCCTGGCACATATAACGGCTTCTCGTTGTATTGTGAAAACCTAGCAAACCTCAGTATTTCAGCTCCAGCAAAGACTAACAACACAAACCAACACAATCACGATCGTTTCATAGTTACACTCAACACAATCACGATCGTTTCATAGTTACGCTCTTAAAAACTGTATTCAAATCTATCTCTATATTTAGTTGTTAATATATGTCAAATATACACACCAGCAGACTACTGTGACCATGACTGTAAATGACCACCTGAGATCATCGACACAAACATGTTGGAGCTGATGTTTGTTGATTTAAGTGAAATCATTTTCTTGGTCTTTAGTTGTTGAACTGTTATTTGGCCTCACTCTGTCGTCTCTGTGCAGCGGGAGCTCTTCGACATGGAGCCGTGGGAACGACCTCGAGAGGAGTTCAAGCTTCACAAGAAGCTGGGAGAGGGTCACTTTGGAGAGGTGTGGGAAGCTGTGTGGACCACGGAGAACAGGAAAGTGGCCATAAAGATGCTGAAGCAAGGTGGGACTGCCAGGAGAACGGAGAAGAACTTTGGTTTGACAGAGAACACGTTCTGACGGGACTGTATTTTCCCCCATTTCTCTGCAGAGGACACGAAGCAGGACGAGTTTGTGAAGGAGGTTCAGGCGCTGAAGAGTCTCCACCACCCCAAACTGATCCAACTGTTGGCCATGTGCTCCAGAGGAGAGCCGGTCTACATTGTGACTGAACTCATGACCAAAGGAAGTCTCAAGTCCTACCTCACCTGTGAGTCTGAGATCACACACAAACACTCCTTACTGACACATACATTTGGTCTGCACGTACACACTCACTCATAATCACATACACACCCACTCACTCACACAAACACTTATAATCACACACACCCTTGAACTTCAGCCACTGATATAAAATATGCCATATTTGCTGACTTGGACGGTAAAGTCAAAGTCAGTCAAAGTCATACATATGAATCGAATAGATCTGCCACCGTGGTGACAAATATTAAACTGTGGGCAAATGGTNTGGGGCGGGCCTTCGACCTGTATTCCCGCTGTGGAAGCTGAATATTAACAGTTGACTCTACATATTAAAAATTCTGTTTTTTTTTTGTTAATTAGTGGCTGTGATATAAAACAAAAACACTCTGTTGCTTTAAAGTCTGTAATAACAAAAAAGACGTTGTTTTTTTTTCTCTAAGCTTTGCAAATTTCCGACCAGTATTCGGGCAGTGCCGGTAAATCTCATGCATGTTTATCCATACACACAGCAGATTAGATAAAGGCCACGAGCAGCGCGTCACTTCAGCTCAGCCTCCGACCAAATGGACTTTGTTTTACTGCACATCCCCGTTTCTGTCTCCTTTTCACTGCACCATCTTTTTAGAAGCAAACGCTGGCAAACATTTAGTCTAGGAAAGCTATTTTTAGCCCAGCTGGAGGCAACCTGAATATGAATAATAATAATAATAATAATAAAATGACTTCTGGCAGAGAAATAACAGTTGCATTTATAAACTGCTTCATTCATGGGAAGTCTAACAGTTTGTTTAGACTAAAGATTATTGTTGAGACACTTCAGGGTCTAACAGTCATGTTTGACCTTTTTATTTTTTTTTAAATGATGATATGACACCAATGACAGCACAAACTGTCCCGTAGAACGTTGTTTCCCAAAGACTGGGTTGCGACCCTGAGGTGGGTCGCAAGAGATTTTCTTGTTGGGTTCTCTCGCATCATGTTTCCCAGGAGTTTATGAATAATGTCTATTGACTTGGGTCGTGAAGGTTTGTGACTTTTAAAATATGGGTCCCCAGAGAAAAAGTTTGTGAAACACTGCTGTGTAACTAAGCGATTGAAAAACACAAGGTGAAAAAAACTAAAGGTGAATGTGGAAGTTTGCTGCTGTCGTACAAACTCTTCAGAGGAGAAGAAAGATTCATGAAGTACTAAATACACAAGATCTCATATTTTCCTGTGCTGTATTAAGGCTTGATCTTAAATATTATTCAATTAGATAATTATATTAAACACCTCCTAAAAGTAAAGGTATGAGGAACTGGTATTTATTACACTACCAGAAAACTGTTTCTAGTTGTGTGTGTGTGTTCATTTATTTTAAAACTCTGAAAATCAGAATGTATTTTCTCTCAGTTTTAATGATTAAAACAGGATGTTCCAGCCGCAGCAGCTTCCTGTTTGAAGACAATAGTAGATAAGCAGTTTCTGTAAAACAGCTTCCATTGCCGTCCAATGACTTTCACCGTGAAAATCCTCACTGTGTTTAACTGCAGCTGCTGCTTACTGCCAATAGGAGAACAACTGTGAAGTGTGTTCATCAAATAACTTTGTTTTTCAGCTCCTGAAGGTCAGGTGCTGACATCGGCTCATCTCATCTACATGGGCAGTCAGATCGCAGAGGGCATGGCCTACCTGGAGGACAGGAACATAGTCCACAGAGACCTGGCTGCCAGGAACATTCTAGTAGGCGACGATCTGGTCTGTAAGGTGGCCGACTTTGGATTAGCTCGGATAATTAAGGTGGGGACGGCATGTTGGACTATCAGTGCAAAAAGTTGGGAATTCATAGTGTTACAATAATACTATTGTCTGGTTTTTCTGGACATTAATGCAACAAAAACCTGCAAAAAATCACTTGACTTCTAATTATGAACAAACATTATAACTTCACATCAAAAGTGACAGCCGCAGTACCTCCTGTAACCACTAGTCTCTCTCTCTCTGTTTCTTTTCTCCAGGACAGCGTGTACACAGCCAGTCGAAACACCAAAATACCCGTGCGGTGGACAGCACCAGAGGCAGCAATTTACCAGCGCTTCTCGGTGAAATCAGACGTGTGGTCATTTGGGGTACTGCTGTACGAGATGATGTCACGTGGCAAAATGCCTTATGAAGGTAGAGTGTGTGGTATTTTATTTTGACTGTGACTGACATTGACTGTGATACTGTGAAGGACGGGTAAACTGTCCAGGGTCTCACCCGCCCTCACCCCATGGCTGCTGGCATTGACTCATGATCCATTTAAAGCAGGGGTATCAAACTCCTGGTTCATGGACCATTTACATGGACCATCAAAACAAAGAGGTGGACGAAAAAGGCAGTTAAAGTCTATTTCTTCCTGTGGTTTTCACACAGTCCACTGCATGCACACATACACACACACACACAAAGTGTGTGTTGGTAAATGCCTGTCAAAGCTCAGTCTAACAAATGACTGTGATCCTAAAGCTCATGTTTTTCATCCTCACTCTGCTTCAGGAAAGAGCAATAAGGAGGTTCTGGACCTGCTGTCGTCTGGATTCCGGCTGCCCTGTCCATCACGCTGTCCTCAGAATATTTACCGCATCATGATGGACTGCTGGGCAGCCGAGCCCTCCAAGAGACCCTCCTTCCACGCTTTACACAGCCAACTGGATTCGATCTATGCCAGGATATATTTTAAGACTATAGAGGTATAGGATGAGGCGTGACACATGGAGGGGGAAAAACATCGAGGTGACATCAGTGGAAAGGACGTCTGATACGTGGCGACAACAGCATACACCAAAGTGCAATGAATGAGATAATGAGATAAAACGCAAAGAGTTGCACCAGGGCTGGACACACAGGAGCCAACGGAGACAAACTGTAAATAGTCCTTGTCAAATCAAATGAGAAGGAAAGAAAGAGTCTTAAAGACACGGACTGAAAACAGCCTGAGAGGAGTGTGAAGACACGCAGCAGTGAACTCCTTCCTAAAAATAAAACCCTACTCACTGACACACTGAGCACAGGCACAGCAGAGACGCTTTGGAGTTTTATAACCTGCTGTTTTTATATGATATTTGGTCACTCCTGAATGTGCCATGTCTGTAAATATGCACAATTTGGAATGTTATGAAATCGCAGGTCGGGACTTTAGCCGACCGCCTTTTATTTGGATTGCAGATCTAGTGCTAAAATTGAGGTTATGTGCAATAAAGAAATGCTTGTTGGACTTTCTGAGCCATGCTGGGGGCCGGTTGCTAAGGATGCTAATAGTCTAACTTCTCTGCTAGCGAAGCTTGGTATTTCTCCTGCTGTGCTTCCATTAACCTACAGTAGCAACAATAGTCCAAAGTAGCACCATCAAAGTATGCGGATACTTCGGTACGTCGATCTGTAATCAAAGTTATCCAAAATATCTGCAGGTGTCCTTCCTAGTGAAGAGCAGCTGTTTACATTAAGCCACTAGTTCAACTGGGAACCTCATTATATCTGAATAGACTTTGTTTGTTTCCTAAAAACGTGCTGCAGCTTCAACGCTAGCGCACATGCAAATGTCATCATGCTAATTAGCTGGCCATTGTTGCAGCCACTCAAAAGTCTCGCACATCAGGTACATTAGGTAAGACTGCGCAGTCCCAGATCCACAGGATAGTTACTGTCTATGTCCAACATAGATGTTGAATCATCATATGATGCAAATGAACCTTGTCAACCCCCTCAGGCTAAACTTGATGTGTTGTGTTTGGTATAAAATGAAAACCAAAGTGAAGGGCTATTTAACAACAATTTGATCAAATTGATGTTTTTACATCATAGAGTTTTTATCCTTAGTCCAAAACTACATCTGGAAACTCGTCCTGATACTGGATGTTCTATTGATGATGTCACATTGCCAGAGTTTGAATTTTTTTTTTTGTTATACAAAAAATACAAACAAATACATTGGCTTCACCGAGTCATCAACCGTGCCACGAGATTTTCAGCCATCTGTGTTGATTGAATTGATGTACGAATGAAACTCTACCCTATTGGCTACAGAACAGGTTTTCACACCTGTGGTTATCTCTAGGTGGCAGTGTAAATAAATGTACAAAAGTGCCAGTCTGAAACAGACTGTGTCAGACACAGACAAGATCACAGTTTTTATGACTTGAAAATATGCAAAATCCATATTGCGACTTTACAAATGACACCTGGATGCCATCCCCCATAATTCATTGTTGTCCAATTTCCTACAACAAAAAAAGCATTACTTACAGAATGAACATCGCGTTCCACTGATGAACACCTGAAACTACCATAAATATCTCAGGAAATTGTTGACTGATGTTGTAGTTGACTGAAAAATCTCATCGTCTTCCATTTTTTTCCTCAACTACCGGAGCTAAATTATTGGCCACCTAGTAGCTAGGTCTATTTTCTATCTGTGACAATCCACGGTCTGAACTAAGTAAAAAAAAAAAAAAACACCTACTGTTGCATCGTGTTACACTTCAACTAACTGGTTCATATCCCAGGGCTCCCAGCATGGCCGTGGTTCTTTATCTGTCATGTACAACTAACTTTTAGTATTTCGTTGAGCCCACACTCTGTTACAGGGACTTGATGTCAGCGTCTATTACAGCTGGAGACAAAAACTGTCTCCATCCTCATGTGACACGTTGTATAGTGTCTGAGCCCATGCTTGAAAAGCCAACTGTATGTGTCCAAACCCTAACAGTTTAGGCCTCGTCTACAGGCCCCTGATGACGACCAGTGGTAACGACCCGCAGCGATTGTTTACACCGTGGACAGTTCAATGACGATGACGAACCAAGAACTCTGAAACTGTGTTTGACATGTTCCAGGGTTTGACTTCTGCCACAACAAAAGACACTAACGTGTCGCAATGCAAATCAGAACAATGCTACTGTGCTTCAGTTTTGTTTTGGTTTTTTTATGCATGACCTTTACTGCAGATGAAGCCAAGTTCAGGAAATGTGAGCCATAACTAATGAATGAAACCAATCAACATCCAGTATTGTGTCTGTGGCTGTGTGTCATCTGGTTCCAGTCTCCAGTAATGAGAAGAATAAAGTATTTTGGACTTTGTTTGCCAACAAGTCTGTTTAATCCTAACAAGTGTGTCCTAGCTTATTATTAGCCTCATAGCATAACTCTCTAAGTCATATTTAAGCTTTAATATGACTTGGGCAGTTATGATAATCTGTTCTGTCACTTTGTAGCTGTCCTCTTATCCCTGTAGGTGGTGCTGTAAACACAGGTGGTACAACCAAATACAGGGGTAAGTCAGAAAGTTCTAAGATCACTGATATTATTTCATCTGAACTAAGTACTTGAAATTAGGGTGAAGGAAGTTTTTTTTTTTTTAACAAACCTTAAATTAAATTAAACCTAACCACACCTTTTGACCTGGTATTTTTCTATTCCCGCATTTCAGTCCTGAGTTGAGGTGAGAAAAACAGGTTATGCTTCCACAAAGTAGGATTCCAGACAATAAAGGAAATGTTTTGATTTATTTTCATACAGGCCAATTTGTCTTTAACTTGTCTTCATATTTTTTGACTTAGCCTCGTAACATTTAGCTAACCTTGCAGCACAATCAAGACTTACTTTGTAATAACTAATTAAAAAAATTAGGTTTGGGGACGAGTCATTGTCCACTAGGGCAGGCAGTACTGTTATGTGGCGGTGTACTCCCAAAAAAATAAACTTTAAAGCTATGTTCTTTAGTATTTATTGTGAGGTCCATAATACACAAGAAGAACAAAGAAGAAGAGAAGTACTTCATGATCCCGTGAGAGAATTTCACTGGTTAAATCAGCAGCATTTCACTGGTTAAATCAGCAGCATTCTCCTTATCTTCAGGAACAAGGAAGCTAGTCAAGACTAATTACAAAGCTTTCGTCTTTGGGCTGCATTACTGCCACAAACGGGTTCTGTCCGCTTTTGGTATCACTAATATTTCAAGTTTGAATTGATATCGAACATTATTGCCTGTTGAACGAATCGACAGAGTCATTTTGTTAATAAATCATTCTTCTCACTGAGGGGTGGGGTTTCTACGTTTTCACCCTTGATCATTTGAGGACGTTGTTCTTGGTCATTTGGTTGCACGAGCCGGAGCATTCGTAGTTGTTGTCACAAAAACATTCCGATCATTCCTGGCGTTCCTTCCTCTCTACCTGCCCGACAGGTGTAGTCAGCTGGCGGATCAGAAGAGACGCTTCTCACCGCAGACCTGCGTCGTCACCTATGGATGAAAGGCTGCGCAGAGCCTGTCCCTGCCTGGAAAAGTTATGGCAGAGGATTTTCGGTGACAAAAAGTCTTCACCTGCTGCGGGAGCAGCAGGGAGAACAGGGGCTGATAATGCCGCATACAACGACGATGTGGAGGCCCAGAGTCCGGTGTCAACACCACCGCAGGCGGAGGAAAAACTGTCCGAGAGTGGAGCCATATACACGGCCGTGTGGTCGTTTGAGGCCCGGCACCAGGATGAGCTGTCCTTCCAGGAGGGGGACATTTTTAGTGTATTCGACCGCAACGGAGACTGGTGTACGGCCCAGAAGATCGACAACAACGGACGGGTCCTGGACACTGGGATCGTGCCGATCTACTACCTGTCCAAAGCCGAGTCCCTCAGAACACAGCCGTGAGTTTTTCTCCGTCTTTGGTTCAGTAGACGAGTGAGGAAACTGTTGTTGCCACAGACAGGGTTGGGTATTAAGAAATAATAATAATAAAAAAATGTAGTTCACATGTTCTCTCCGGGTGTGTGTGCGTGTGTCTCCATATGTGGCTGGCGGACTGTCCATGGTACAACCATTCCCCCATGCCCATTACCCCTCCAACTCTGCTAAGGAATAAATGGTAGATAATGAATAGTAAGGAATAGTTTTTAAAAAATTCTAACAAAATTGCGATTTCTTGGGGGGGTCAAAGATTAAAAAGTTATACACGCAAATATATGTGACAGATTTAATAAAATATAAATAAATAAAATATGAATCTGTTTTTTGTTTTGTTTTATTATTGTTGATTTAATAAAATATAAATAAATAAAATATTATTATTATTGTTATTTATTATTGTTGGACACCTTTTGATAGTATGACATCAGTCTTAGAACTTTCTGACTTGTCAAATGTTTGTCTCTGTCTCTTGTCTGTCAAAAATGACTTTTTAAAAAATCCTTTTATTTTGTTCCAGATGGTTTTTTGGGTTCATGAGCCGCTTTGAGGCCCAGCGTCAACTGCTGGGAGCAGAGAATGAAGACGGATCCTTCCTGATCAGACAGAGTGAAAAAGACAACTGTGGATATGTTCTTTCAGGTAACACAATGGAAATGATTAAAGCTGCAGGGACAGAGGTGACATGTGGGTCGGGGCTGCACCCCAGAAATACTGTTTAAAAGACTTTGTACTTGATACCAAAGACCTCCAGATGTATTTCAACTTCTGATCGTCACATGGCATTCGTCAGTAGTAATTTAGTTTTTGTTTTTTTTAATCACGCTTCCCAGTCTCAACATGCTCCTGATGCAGGCACAGAGGCATTAATACTGTAGTCCATGAGCAACTTCACCATAGGAATGAACCTGTTTGGTGGAAAGTTACCAGAAACTACATTACAGGAACAGACCAAAGTATAATGCATGAAATGTCCTAAATCGTGGCTGGACGTTAGAAAAAAGATTAGAAAAGAGACAAAAAATTCAAATCAAAGGTTGAGGAAGAGGTCCAACTCTTCTTCGTCACTGTGGCCACACATTCTGTTTTATTACAGATCTATTCCCTATAGTGTTGGCCACCTGCGGTGTAAAAGCTATAAAAAGTTGCAGCCCTATAGGCACCTGTGTGACAGTGACTTCTGCAACTGTTGCTAGGTAACGCCACTTAACGCGATTCTTTTTTTCTTTTTCTTTTTTGAATCTTTGGAGAATTATATTTAGCCGAATCTTTCCTAGAGCCTAGAAAATCCTCCAACCCTGTCTCCAGGCCAAACCACACTCTTCATAATGACATCACTTTTAAATGCAATTGATCACCGTTAGAGTAAAATAACTGTGTAAAAGATAGTTTTAACAACTGTGTCAAAGCAGCTGTGGTTTAGTGTAACTTTTTTTTTTTTTACAAAAGTCCAAATTTTCTTGACTATGAAGGATTTACAAATGAAAGCAGTTGAACAGACAGTTGTCTTGAGGCTTTTATTTTCTTAAAAAAATTGAACTGGTCACATGCTGTATTTAAGAAACTTTATAGATGCCGGACATCTTAATATTGTTCAGCTCTCTGGTGAAAAATATCAGTATGTCTATCACAAGTTTTAGGTCATTTTTTCAATCCTGATAAAGCATTTAGTGGAAAATAAAAATTTTAGATAGAAAAAATGTGTAATGATAAATAATATCAAATAATAACATATCAGAATCATAGCTGCCTGTTCCTGACTTTGTTTGTGTGTGTGTCTGCAGTGAGGTCGAGTAATCTAGTGAAACATTTTAAAATCCTCCAAAGTGCCAGCGGTAATTATTACGTGGAGCCTTATCGTCAGTTCAGCTCTCTGGTCGACCTGGTGGCGCACTACTGCAACAACACTCTCATCAACACAGGACGACTCTCCAGCCACTGCAAGAGGGTGAGACCACACGTTTGTCTCCCACTGTTTTCAGAAACATTTTAGCTTAGCATCTGCACCTGGGCCGAACATTCAGACAGGTGGTCTGTGCTCTGGCCTTGCACCAGATAATCACTGTATTATGTAATAAATATATAGTTATATCTTCTGCATCTTATAAACCTCTCTCAACAGCTTCGTCCAGTGTTTCCCAAATTCCTGGGGAAAAATGATGCAAGATGACCCAAAATAAAAACTCTTGCGACCCACCTGAGGGTTGTGACCCAGTCTTTAGGAAACACTGGCTTAGTCAACAAAACATAACAAGCACAGCCTGGAAATTAAATTAAAAAAATAAAGACGACTCTTGTCCCCGACACCTACTATATTCATATAAATATAAATCCCTGGCCTGAATTCCAAACATCTAAGATCTTCTTCTTCTTTTTCTTTCAGCTTTGTCCCTTTTTTTCAGGGGTTGCCACAGCAAATCATTGATTTCCATCTCACCCCGTTCTCTGCATCTTCTACTCTGACTCCAACTATCTGCATGTCCTCCCTCACTGCATCCATATATCTCCTCTTTGACCTTCCTCGCTTTCTCCTACCTGGTAGTTCCATCTCTAACATTCTTCTACCAATGTGTCCACTGTCCCTCCTCTGCACATGTCCAAACCATCTCAATCTGGCTTCTCTGTCTTTTTCTCCAACCTTCCTGTCTGTGTTGTTCCTCTAATGACCTCATTCCTGATCCTGTCCATTCTTGTCATTCCTAAAGAGAATCTTAGTGTCCAAACATCTAAGATAACAAACCTTAAATAACAAGAAAAAGTCCAAGAACAACTAACGTGTCGAGAACTCTCCAGGGGTTCCGTCAGTTCCCTGCTAACACCTGCCCTCAACTGGAACCATGTTGTTACAAAGTGAAACTCACGTGTTTCCTCTTTCTTTTTTGAATATTTTTGTTTGTTTTTTTTTGTTGCATCTGATCCTAAAAATTGAACTTTCTCTTAGGAAGTTGTAAGAACACAGCTGCAGCTGTGATGGAAGTTAAATTAATCACTACAGATTACCTTGTGAGGGTAAACCTCATCAGTCCTTTAAACCCACCAGGCAGTGGAATGTGACAAAAATAAATAAATAAATAATAATAATAATAGCAAATTAAACATTATTCGTTAATTATATCTAAAATATATAAACTAATTAGATCTAAAATATATAAACGAATTAGATCTAAAATATATAAACTATGGTTTATATATTTAGTACATAGTATATAGTTATACGTTACGTGATGTATTATTTATTCAGTCAAAACTACAATATAAACATACAGTACATATATCTACATATTCAGTCACATATATAATTTTAAAATAAAATAAATGCCACTGGGAGAGCATACATTTTCAAGAAAGAGTTTCTGATTTTCATTTAGTTACTGTAAACTCCTGGTCATCGTCTGTGATTTTAAGAGATATCTGTTTAACTCTCCTCTTTTTACTCCTGAGTACTACAGTATCCCTCTATAAAAATTAACACATCTGTACTGTCTTTGCCAGAAAAAGCCCAACACCTCAGACTTGAACCATTTCACAGTTGACCAGTGGGAGCTTCCAAAAGAGGAGTTCACCCTGCAGGAGGAGCTGGGCAGGGGCTACTTTGCCGATGTCTACAAGGGGCGCTGGAAAAACCACATCAGCGTGGCCATCAAGATCCTTAAAAATGGTCAGAAAATCGGTACAGTCCTGAACACCTGGCTTTAATGAATTAAAAAAAAATTCTATTGTTTACAAACAGACTCGGAATTGGACCATAGTGAGTTCCACAGAGAAGTGCAGATCCTAAAGAACCTCCGGCACCGTCACCTCATCAAGCTGTATGCTGTGTGCACGAATTCTGTGCCTTACTACATCGTCACTGAGCTGATGGAGAAGGGCAGCCTGCTGGAGTTCCTCAGAGGTGAACTGTTAGGTCACCGTTAGCTTTGGTTGAATTAGCATCACTGTAATCGTTTCAGTTCAGTTCCTGGTGTGTTAATCGTCCGGGTGTTGCCATATTTCTGTTATAAAATTGTAATTTTCATTTGGATTTTTTTCCATCTCAGGTACAGAGGGCCAACAATTGGACACAGCATCACTCGTCGACATGGCTGCCCAGGTGGCTGATGGGATGTCGTACCTGGAAGAGCAGAAAAGCATCCACAGAGACCTGGCAGCTCGAAACGTGCTGGTGAGCGGTGACTACATCTGTAAAGTTGCCGATTTTGGACTGGCCAGAGTGATCAAGGTAGGGAGGAGGTCGAGTGTCGGGTTTTATTTTTGGTTGTTTTGTTTTAAATCCAGAAACAAATGTTCAGGAAACTTTTTTTTTCCAAATCCAGGACCCATTTTACATCTCTGCAGCTCAAAATATTCCTTACAAGTGGACGTCACCAGAGGCCATCAGCCACGGAATGTACTCCATCATGTCTGACGTCTGGTCTTTTGGCATCCTGCTCTTTGAGATCATCACCTACGGAGGCATTCCTTACCCAGGTCTGTGGACTAATATGTTGGGAGTTTTTTTCCCTCAAACTCCAGGTTTAATATTTTTGGAATGTGAAAGTCACATAGTTAGAAAAATTTGATAACGAACACCATGATCTTTAAACTCCGGAGGAAATTTTATTTTGAAAAGCTTTTCGAAAAGTCATGCCTATTTTTATTTTTTTTCAAATGTATTCAGGTCAACAGTCATGTGTTGAGAAAAAGCTTTTCGAAAAGTCATGCCTATTTTTAATTAATCACACCCTGTTAATGAACGGTATTAAAGGTAACTGAAAGTCATCTGGCTGAACGGTATTAAAGGTAACTGAAAGTCTCTTCTCTATGTGTGTTTATCACACATAGAGAAGAATTAAATGTGAACTTTTTAGTCGGGAAATGTTTAATCCACACTTCTGCTTTACTCACTTTTACTTCCTCTCTCACCTACTCAGCCCTCAGCAACATGGAGGTTTGGGAGCAGGTGGAGCAGGGATACAGGATGCCAGCGCCGGCATCTTGCCCCGAAAAACTTTATCAAATAATGCTGCAGTGTTGGAGCGCCAACCCGGACGACAGACCACATTTCAAAACCCTCAAAGTCAAGCTGGACAGCGAGATGGCGTGAGAGCGACTCCTTCTGACTTCTTAGTTACTGCTGACCGCCACAAAGGGGCAGTAGAGGGTCTGATACTGTGCCACATGTCATTCTCTACCAAGGACTTGCTTCAAACATAAAAACCAAAGACAAACTTGGTACAGATCGATGGTTTTACCTTTGACATGAATTCAGTTATTTTTCCACAATGACTTTGTTTTCATTCGAAGATTATTTTACCCAAAACTGAGATTATTAAATAAATACATTATAAAACATCAGTTCTGTATTTTCTTCATTGTTTGGGCCGGTATAACAACAGCTCTAATTCCAGTTTCTCTATTTGACCAATGTGCAGTTTTATTCATGAGTCTCATACAAATCATGGCTGTTTGGTCTGTTACTGGTGAAACAGCAAGACTAAAATAAATAGACGTTGAACTTAAAACCATATTTAATACACAATATAATACTGTATACCAAAATACAAGAATTACTGTATAATTTCAATTACATCCCTTATTGAATTAGATATTAAACTAATTCTAGAATCGATATATAGTTTATTTTATTTTTAATTTTTAAATTTTATATTAAATCCTGATGTATTTTAGTTTTAGATTTATTTATATTTTTATATTTTTATATCAATAATCAATTTTATTTCAACAAATATAAAGAAAAAGATAGACATTTAAAGAATTAAAGCTGTTTTGGGTTTTGTTTATAACTGATGTCGTGATATATTTTAGGTCCACTTTTGTTCATTAATCTTTCTTATCAGTCTTTGGCAAAATAGTTATCAACCATTTCTGTTTGCTACAGTACCAATTTTCTGAAAAAGTCTTACAAAATGTAAAAATGAATTTAAAAAATGCAGTAATTTACCTGAAAGAATATAACTATGTGCTTCAAATGTTTAAAATTCAGAAAAAAAAATTTGAATCGCCAACCACTGATTAAACTTGTTTTTCCACTAGGGGGCAGCATTGTATCTCGGTAATGTAATATGATAGACACAAATAATGTATTTATCTTCTGTACAAAATGATTCCACCAGCTTGATCTGGGCTCTTTCATTTAAAAGGAACCTGTTCAAAGTCCCACAGGGACAATGTGTCCTCACAGCAATGGTATTTTCCACCAAAAAATGCCCCCACAAGTGTAGCCATACCAGAAAGAAACACACACCCACAGACACACTATACAGTACAAACGGATCCCTCTGATTTTCCAGTGGTGATGCAGCAGCTTTTTGACACTATTGAAAATCATCGAGAACAAACATGCCTGAGTGACACCACTGTAAGGTGTCCTGTCCAATAGGAACAACAGCCTGAGTCACTGAGGTCGATGTCAGGACACGCTGCAACAGGTAACTGTATATGTGTGAGAATCACTGACTGTAAGTGAAGCTGTAGGTGACGTCCACGTCAACACTTTAACCCACTTTTCCAAATGAAGGCAGAGAATTTGGACATGATTTTGTTTCATTATTTTTTGTTTTTATTCAGAGTGTCAAAAGGAAAACATTTATCGCAGTATTTATTTCTGGAATTAATCAGATTAAAAATGTGACTATTTTAATGACTGTGCAGAATAGTTTGTTTGGTTCACCCATTAATTCCTCAGTACATCCATTTATCACTAATTAATCACACAGTCAGTACACATGTTATTTACAGACTGGGGTAATTGTTGTTTTACTCCCAGTTAATTCCAATTAATCATGATCAATTAGATTAACAATTATTCATGATTAATCCACAGCTATGACTGATTAGGCAAATTAACTTTTTTTTTATTGGTGTAATTTGGCCTATTACTAAATGACCAACTGCACCTTTATAGATTTTCATGGTACTGAAAAAACAAATGAAAATCAAAATAATATAATTTTGATTGTTAAATAAATCAAAAGGTCCATAAAACTGGATCAGCCTCAGTCACACTGTAAATATCACACCGACAGTTTTGACTATAACCCACAAACAAACACACAGAGCTAATGGAAGGAATCGTACAGTAACTAAGGATGTAGAATGTTTGGCCAGCAATATGGAAAAATACTTCCAGGTGTTATTAAATGTCACCCAGTCGATCTGTTTTGCCTGTCTGTCCTTAGACAACCACCATGAACTCCTTCACCCTGGCTGAGCTGCAGCTGAGCTCTGAACAAAACAGTCACAAACACAAACAAACCTGTCTTTGGCAGAATATACAGTACTGCCAACAGGGGGCATTTTAAAAGGTCAGTGGATTACAGTGTTTTATAAAGCTGTCTGCTATGGAGGAAGAATAAATAAAGCTCATTTATATTGAGGTCAAAGGTCGCTCCATTGTAATTTCACACGCACAAACACTTAATACCTTCAACCTTCAGAAAGTTGTTCTATGAGAAGAGCGAGATCAGTTTATATTTCCCCACCAAAGTTGAGCCTTTTTCATACCTGCAGTGCGATTACAAAACTTTATGATGAACAGTGTTGTCCACTGTGCTATGTACTGTGTGCTAAGGCAGCAAGCTAAGTGGAGCTAAGTGGTTTTTAAAGCACTAAAAACCCAGGTAACCTGATTGATAGTGCCTGCATGCTGGAGCTGGAAACTTAATATTACACCACTGCCACTTCTGTCTTATTGGCAGGAGCAGTGGGGGAAGAAGGGGAGGCTCTGACTCCCCCGGTCTAAGTTTGTTATAGTTCACAGAGGGGGAGGAGACACTTCAGAAGCAACAGGAACCCAACTGGTGTTGTCAGGGTCCATGCTCCTCGTCTGAATCCAACCGTCGCCTCCCTCTCTCTCTCCTCACTCTGATGAAGGCTTTTCCGTCCTTTATCTGATCTTATTGCACAACCTTACTGATGTGAGAAGCACCGGCACAGGAGCAAAGGTAAGGCTTTCAAATTTGCATGAATAATATCCTGTTGACAGTAACTCCCAAACAGCTGGTGTCACTGTGGAGTGACACCAGCTGTCACTACTGTGGAGACTATAACATAACCCTGGTTGCCAAGTGGGGGATTTTTAATCTGTTAAACAGCAGGTCACATTTTTAGCCGGTAAATTTAATCTGTATTTTGTTTTGATGTAGGAACATTCAGTCATGTAGTGTAACCTTAGCGACACACTGTGGCCTGTCATTTGTAAACAGCTTTTATTAGCAGGTTCCATTTTTGTTTTCTAAACTTGGATCCTGTGACGATGAAGGGCTTTATTTGAGCTGTGACTGAGTCATCCGGCGTCCACCGGCCTCCTGTAACAGGACCGTGCAGGACTCCGTTCATGTAGTCACCAAAGAAGAACTTGGTTGTTTGGGATATTTCCTACAAATCTCCTCTTATTTTCCCCCTCTGGATTCTGGTGCTTGTGATTCTTCTCAGCTCAGTTTCAGTTGTGAGTTTAAACAGCTCAAGGCACAAGTCAAATATTTGAGGATATATGATAATATTTGAGCAGTCACAAAAACTTCACTTGGTCAACATGACTGTACAAAGAAATGACTCTGCAGATTAGAAACCCACCATGATTCATCAGTTTTAGAGCCAGCAGATACTTCAGCTCTGCTGGGAGCAATCGTACTGTTATCAGCTCCTAAAAACACACCATTCAACACAACAACCACCCTCACTAACTGTTTGTATGGTTGTGTCCGTCTTCTGCCTCCAACTCTTTCAATCATTTCATCAACAGAGAACCAATTTAAAGTACAATTAAAACTTTAAATCGGTTCATGTCATGATCTTGATCAGAGAATTTTTTTTAAATTGAGAGTTAAGAAAAATATTAATATAAAAGATAAAAACATGTGACAACCAGACTGAACTATTTATGAAGCAAATTGTTCAATCTGGTTGTCACGTGTTATTTAACTCTTTGTCTAGTCTATTCTAAAATATTTTAGTCTGAAGTCAATTTTCAAACAATTTTTAGTTTTTAGGCTGAAATAATACATTTTAGATTATTTTTAATATAATATAAATCATATAAGAATACATGTAAATGTATGTATAAATTATATGGCTTGGTTTTGAAGAGAGTTTAGACATATATATAAACATAATACATATGTTTAGTATTTTATTTACTGTATATTACAACTATAAACATTTTATATTTTACTTTACATGCTTTTCACTAGACCCTAAACTGTACATGGTTGGATAACCCAAAACACTTAACATAAATTAATACACTCAAAAACCCCTTATACACCATCAGTTAAAGAGCATGAGCACAGACAGCTGTAGTTGACACAGATGGTGAAAATAAATAACCAACAGAATTATAGTGAGTAACTCATAAACAGAACAGTTAATACCTCAGTGTCAACAGATAATCTGCCCTCCAGCAGCGTACACAAATACATAAATCAACCAGCAACACACCAACCAGTCCACTTTCTCAGCGAACAAACATGCATCAACGTCTGTTGTCGGTAAAGGAAGCAACATGTCAAGAAACTGTTATTTTGTATTATTTTGTCTTCAAAGTGAGAGTTTGAAAGAGAACAGAACTAGGAAATAAGAGCCATGATAGAAAAGGTGGTTCTCAGTTAAGGTTCTATGATCTAAACCTCACTGGGCTCACATCATCATTCAGATAAAAATAAATAAATAAAATATTTAAAAAAAACTTTTACAACAGCTGACATGACTAACACTGTTTGCATGTTAAATTTCATGAAAAACAGTTTTACATTTTGTCTTTTCAAGTTATAGGAGAGTTGAGGAAGGACAATGCAAACATTTCAAGTTCAATGTAATTTATTTTGAAATTTTAAACAAAAGTAACTTAAAAGGACCGAAGTTCCTGGTCCAACAAAATAAAAAAGGAAGCTGCCAGGCCAGCCAGCCAAGGCTGTCGCCCCAGAGACTCCCTTCCATCCTTACAAACAAATAACAACAAATAGCCTACACAAAAGAAAAACTCAGAAAACAGGCATACCATGACCTTCCACCCTCAAACTAAAACAACACACAAGGCAGCCATGAACTAAACCACCATGGTTCTCATGGATAGTCTTTGACGTGGACTAAAGGTCACTGATGAAATAACTACAAAGGCTTGATCACAAACCAGATCTTCATCCATTCTGTTCTAAAATGAACAAAAAGAAAGAAAATGTTGTACCATGGAGGGACCCCAGGTCCCAAAATCAGATGGATCCAGGTCTGATTTTGGAAACTGCATGGTGCAACACGCAGTAAGAATTAATAACTGGATTTCTTTAAGAAGCAAGAAGACGAGCGAGGACAGTAGTGAAGGAGGTTAGTGAAGT